GAAAGAAATGACATTGAAGATAGTTAAAGATTGTATTTTATTTTACTTCACAAATTTTCGTAGAAAACGAATGAATATTATTAAAAAGGAGTTTTTTGTTTATTCTAGTTTAATAATGTCGAAGAGATAAACTCTAACAAATCAATCCTTTTGAATTAAAAGAATAAAATCTCTTGAAATATATGTTAAATGAAAATTATAATAACCTCATTTAATTCTCAATCAAATTCATATTCAATTATCATTTATTTTCATTTTATTAAACACACACTGACATATCACAATTTGATCATAGGAACACAATTTTTATTTCATTTCAACGACATTTTCTTTACTTAAAGTGTATAATAATCTTCTAATTCTTTTTAAAATAAAAATCTTATTCAATAACAATCATTTCTATCTCTTTGATAATAAATTTATCATAAAATCAAATCTGTTCATCATTTTGCTATGATGGAGATAATCTGGGGTTGTAGGAAAACGTAGAAAAGGAAAACATAAAAAGAGAAAATTTTAGAAAAAAAAACAAAAGAGGAAAACGTAGAAACTTTAAAAGACTACAGTACAAAAAATTTAATTGTTTTCGTTTTTATTGGTCACTCCTGTAACCAGCATATACTAGTTTTCATTCAACAAAGAACATTTTCTCATATTATAAATATACATATAATTTAAATGGCAACAAACTTAAATTGATACAAAGTGAACATATTCGTTTTGAGCATATCTCACTTCAAATTGTTGCTGGTGCATCTGCACCAAAACAATCAACAAAAGCAATAGCTTTTCAGGCGCGATTTGATACTCTATGTAACAGATTTTCCAAGAGGGAAATTAACGCGAAGGAGTTATTGATATGCTTCTCATTGTTAATTGGAAAGAAAAAAAAATAAGATTTTATTAAATTATAAATTTTCTCTCATCTTTTTTCTTACAATCTAATAAATATACTACGTAACATGCGTAAAAAACTGATCAATCACTTCAATGTTTTCCTTTTCTATGTTTTCTAGCAAGACCGATAATCTTATTGTACATCATTCAACTTTCAATCATTTTTTGTGTACTCAAAAAGTGAGTACACTACTAGAATAGGTCAGTGTGTCCGGCCGTCCGGCCGTTTACCCGATAAATTTCGAAAGGAGAATCAGACTGAGCTGAAATTTTCTACAGAGTTTAGTCTCATTGATATCTCGGTCGAGTTCGAAGATGAGCCCAACCCGGTTCCACCATAGCTGAGTTATAAAAGAAATTCTCATTATTGATCAGATCATTCCTGAGGGGGAGTACAGGGATTATTTTTCAAAAAAAATATTATTCTCAAAACTATTCACAACATATATAAATCGAGTCAGTTTTTAACGCTGATTCAGAATCTGACATCTGTTTTGAACCAAATCCTAACTTTCTAACAAAAAATCGCCTGAAAAAGGTCTCAAATGCACAAAAACTGTATGCAGAGACCAAGTTGTCTAGATATATCTCAGATTACTAGTAATTTTGAGGTTTTCTAAATACCCGGTTTTGTAGCTAGTCAAAAGGACTATCAAAAAGTAAAAACTCGAACTCGATAGCTATTAATGTTGATGAGCTATTATGAAAATACTGACGTCTGTATCTATTATATATCTCTTATAGATTCATGAGGTTACTTACAATCGTAATCCTCCTAGATACAAACACAAGTTCATTTAAACATAACTCCTCTTATTTAGTGTTTTTTGGAATAGATAGAATTTGTCAAGAGCTCTAAATAATGACAGGAGGTAAAAATTGTGCGTTTGAGGTTTCCCCGACATTACACTGTCAGAAAACTATGAAAAACTCACATATATTGGCAGTGCCGTTAGAACTTTTTATTGTTGACTAAGAATCAAAAAAAACAAGGTCAATGTCTATTTTCACTTTTTGCCGTACACATAACTCTCGGATAAAATCCGAGGTTACGCATTTATTCGATAGACTATTATAGAGATTGAAGTTTGATTGATTTTACTAATTAATGTACTTGTAGATTCAAAATATACCTGACGAGTCCCTTAAGCAAGGACAAAACGCGTCGTATGATGCTTTGAACCTTATTATATATATATAAACACGCCCACCCACACCCTTCTCTATTGACTGTTGATACAATGGTCTTTATGTGAGAGATATGGCCATTATCTGTTTATTATCTTCTTTTCATCATTACTCACAAATATATCTATGAACATGCAATCGCTTCAACACCTCCACCTTTATCTCCATCGTCAGTCTCAGCTTTCTTCTCATTTTTATCATCATCTTCAACACCTCCATCACGTCTATTCTCACCATCAATACTTTCATCACGTCCAATAGCACCATCAACATCTCCACTACGTTCATTGTCACCAGAGTATCCATACCATGCACCCTAACCCATCGAAACTTATCCCTAACCAGTCATCTACTTAGAACGTTTATATCACATCCCTTATCCAATACAAAATACAAAAAAAAACAAAAAAATTTAAAAAAGTTAAAAAAAAACCAAAACAACACAAACATTCACGCATGATGTGATGGAACTGAGCCTTTCAATAGGCACTTTTTAAATTTTTTTCCTTAATTCTTTCCATTCCCCTCTTTCTATATCTCTTCTTAATTCTTTCCATTATAATCTTGTTATTTTTTGTTCTTGTTTTGTTTTTTGTTTGTAATTTACTTTTTTTGTTACTTATTTAAATAAATAATCTTTTTAATTTGAAAATTATAAAATTATCCGGTCAAATTCATATCAAAATATTAACCTACCAATTCTAAAGCTATTACTGTAATACGGCTTGTCCACGTAACGCGACACTTCACCGATCAAGTTTTTAAAATTTTGTTTTTCGAGTTGAACAGATTTGAACAAGCTATTAGACGCCGTTTTTAACGCTGATTACGAATCTGAGATTCATTTTATAAAAAATTCAGATTTTATTATCAAAAACTGGGTTTTAAACTTTTGAAAACTCGTATTTCGAGTTTTCGCCCCAAGAAAGTTTTCTAAAAATTTTCGAGAGACGTATCCTTCAATGCAGAATTGAATTCTCTACAAAATGGCCTATTTAGTTTTGAGTTTAGTAGCTGGTAACAGTTTTTAACCTCCAATACCCTCCCCAACTTCCTGTCCAGTTTTTGAGCTCCCTCATGGAGGAATTAATGTAATTCTTTAGTAGACGTTTATCTACACAGTAATGAGTAACCGTTAAAAAATTCAAACCATTCGGACGATATTAACTACCTCAAAAATGGCTCACAAAAAAGTGTGTAACAGCGTTACGAAAAACGTAACAGTGTTACGTTTGTTTTTTGTATTTTTCACACAAATAAAAATAGCTAAAAGAAATTTTTTTTTTGGTTTTAGAAAGCTCGTTCAAAGCTCTACAAACGTAGTTCTAAGAGCATTTATTTTGAACAAAATATATCGCCAGAAATCAGAGTTTTCTTGATGGTACTGAAGAAGAAGGGTCTTTTTATGTAACAGTGTTACGCGACAATGTAATCCTTATAGATATCCGAGGCTTCAGCAAAAAAATATCTTTTTTATAGAATAAGTAGAGTCCGATAATCTGCATCGAATGGCGTTTGAGCGAACGTACTAGCTATTACACTTTCCGAGATAATCAAAGAAGAATGTGTCAAAAACGTAACAGCGTTACGTTTGGACAAGCCGAATAGTGTGAGCAAACGACGCTACTAACTAAGATTATTAGCAAATACTATCATCTATTTTAGAATTCTATTTTGAGCAACATTCACTTTAAAAAGCTAAAGTATTACTTATATGGCAAATGAGTGATTAATGAAAATAATCTTTTTTTTTCTTTCTTCAACTTATAAGATAGAAGTCGATGAAGTACGTGACTAGAGTCACACATTTTCATTATTCATTAAAATTTAATATACTAATCGAATATAGACGAATGTGACATACCTCACAATACGAATTATTCTTATTCAGAATCACATAGTAACAATATTTCAATGAACTAAATCGGGGATATTATTTGATTGTAATTTGGTTACTCAAAAAGTGAGTACACTACTAGAATCGGTCAGTGTGTCCGTCTGACCGTATACACGATAACGTTTGAAAGAATAAACCGATTCAGCTGAAATTTTGTGCACAGAACTATCTCGTCAAGGTCTCGGTCGAGTTCGAAGATGAGCAAAATTGGCCGGGCCATTTCTGAGTTATTGCAAAAATACCGATATTATTCTATGATTTTCCTATATTTTTTTCTTTGAGAAAAATAATATAATGCCGTTGTCGTAAGCAATTTTTCTGTCAGAGTTAAATAAAATTCCACTTATTATATAGCATTCAATAGAGAATTTCATGAGCTACAAGATGACACTAAATTATAGGGGTAAATACGTTGTAGACAAGATTTCCTCTATATAACAGAGTCGGTAAACTATAGAAAACTCATATATGTTGACAACGTGTCAGTGCGATATTTGCTTGTTTTTCATATTACCAATAACACTTTTTTAGAGTAGATAGAACTCGTCAAGAGCTGTGTGGGTGTGGCTTTCATAGTTAAATTGATATTCACACAATCGTCCACACTCACACCCATCTTTTTTCTTATCTCTTCCCTTACTCTCAATAAATCATTAAATCACAAAAAGAAATCTAATAGAATTTTTATTTCGAAGATTTTTTTACTAATTTAAATGTTTTCTTGAATTTAAAAAATATTTTATTTGAGCTTTCTATAAAAATTAAACCTTTTCTAATTCGAGTTTCTTTCCAATTCTTTTAATTTAATTTATTCCAAAAAAATTCTATCTGAATTATTTTATTCATTTTGGTTTTTATAATTTAACATTAGAATTAACAAATATTTGGTTACTTTTTTTCTAAAAACGAAAAACAAATTGATTTATTTTATTGGAAGGAATTTTATTAATTCATTTTTGATTGTTTTCAAAAATAAAAATCGAAGTTTTATCAGATTAAATTAAAAAGATTGTTAATTTCAAAGTTTTTCATATTTTTGGATTCGTTGATTTCCCCAATCAACAACATAAAGATTTTCTTCATTATCAAATGATAAACCTGCGGGACCATTTAATTGATTTGGTTGATTTCCTTCACCATTTCTACCAACGACAATTTCACCTTCTGCATCTCCTTCACACCAACGCATTACTCGTGCATTCCAAGAATCTGCCACATAGATTTGGCCCAAATGATCAACAATCACTCCTTGAGGATAAGACAATTGTTTGAGACTATTTCCTTCACCATTTCCACCAGCAACAATAGTTCCTTCTTTTGCATCTTTTTTCCATTTCATTACACGATGGTTCTCACGATCTGATATATAAAGAGAATAATCATCATCAATAAAGATAAAAGTAGGTCCATTGAGTTGATTAAGATGATTTCCTTGACCATTTCTACCTGCAACTAATTCACCTTTTGTATCTCCTTCTCTACATCGTCTTACTTCATGATTCTTATAATCAGAAACATAAATAAATCCATTTCTATCGATTGTCAGACGAGAACAATCAATATTTGAAATAATAATTTGCTGATTTGCTTGATTTTGCTCAAAACATCGAATTACTCGTTTGTTTCCAGAATCAGAAATAATAAAAGAATTATTTTTTTTATTAAAAATTATATTTGTTGGCCGATCCAATTGATTATTTTGATTTCCATTTCCATTTCCATTTCCACCTGCAATGATTTGACCAGTATTTGAATTCAATTTCCATTTAACAATACGATTATTCCAACAATCAGCAATATAAATCGATTTATCATTATCAATACAGATCCCATAAGGATGATCGAGTTGATTTAATTCCTTTCCTTGTCCATTTCCTCCAGCAACAGTAATTGCAGATTGTTGATATTTATTCTTTTTTGTTTGAATTAGTTCTAAAATAAAACAGATTTTCTTTTTATTCCAATCTATTTCATTATTTTCAAATAGAAACAGGGTAAAAGTAAGAAGAAAAACTTGTATTTGAGCTTGTTTTAGTGAAATAAAATTTTCTTCTTAATCAACAAAACTAAGTTCAAATAATTCCTTCGTTTAATTCAGATTTTTCAATTGAAAATTGTTTATTTGATTCTCATAAAAGTTTAATTCAGAAAAATATTTTTTTAAATGAAAATCATTTTATTTCAATGATTTTAATAAAACCGATTAAAAACTACCTTTTGATTAATAAATTAAAAAATGTTTTTAATTCAACATTCTAAACTAAAGAGTTAAACTTAACTTAAATTTGTTTAACAATTCCAAAACAAAATAGTCTTTTCATTAAAATATTGAAAGTGATTTTTCAAATAAAAAAAGTCTAAAAATTGTATCTATTCTCAGAAATTTGTTTAGATAAATTTAATATTAGAATAGATCTCATAAAAAATAAAAAAAATAATATTTTTATCAAAAGTTGCTAATTGATTAATCTGTTGAAATAATATTTCGAACTAATTTTATTGAAATCTCACAAATATCTGAAAAAGATTAAAAGTAAAATATTTCAGATAGAATTTTGATAATTTTAAAATATAAAAATATTGAAGGATATATTTGAAATCTGATTGATTAAAAGAAAAGAAAATTCTTATTGAGTTTTGATCATCTTAATAATTTAAAAAAGCAAAAAAAATCTATTTTTAATTAAATAAAAAAAATTAATTTTTACAAAAAGAGATTAATTTTAAACAAAAATTATTTATTTGAAAAAAATTCTCTTTTATTTGAATATCTGAAAAAAGAAATAAAATTATTTATTCACATTTTCTCAATTTCTCATTTTTATCTATACAAAAATAAGTTATTAAAAAAACTAAATGGCTTTTAAAAGTATTTCTTTAGAAGATCGTTTTAGAATAAATACTTGAAGTAAAAAATGAATTGAAAATATTTAATAAAATTATTCTTACTAACATAGATAAATATTTTGAATAAATTCTAAAGATGAAATGACGATATTATTTGTAAAATAAATTTTATTTTATGGCTCAAAAACAAAATAGATCACTGTATTATTTAGATTTTATTGGCGATTTTAAAAAAAACATCATTTTTATGATTTTATAAAATATAAAAGTAATATTTTAATTTTTAAGAAATATATTCAATTCTGACTATAATCATAATTTCTTTTTTCAAAATTATTCGAACTGATTAATTTGATTAACAATTCTATAAATATTTATTTTTATAAGAAGATAAAATCTTTGATGTTAAATTTTGTTCTTACTCATATCAATAATTCATAAAAAATATTTTAAATGAAAAACTTCGTTACTCGTCACAAGAATTTTCATTTTAAAGATTTATTTAATAATATTCTCAATATCTCAATGAAAAAAATAATTCGAAAACGATGGATGAGATCTCTTTTCAGTGTTATATTAAGTGAGATAAAAATAGAAAAGAACCAAATTATGAATAATTTTATGAATATTATTTCAAGAGAAATGGTTCTTTCTTGTCTAAAGAATAACATTATTTGAAAAAGTAATTTAAATTGCTACTTAGTTAATAAGGATAGTTTATGAAAAAGTTCGATCTCAATTTGAAAGATAGTAAAACTATTTTTATTTAATGAAACATACTTTGTTTTATTTGAGATTGAGTTGATATTTCATTTGGTGTTACTGGATTCTTTAATATAGTCGCTGTGCTAGCTGTAGAATGCTTAGGTTGATAAGAATCTTAATGAAAAGAAAATACAATGAATTTATTTTACTTTAATTTATATAAAAATATTTTTAAATACTAAACAATATCAATATAATATTTTTGTTTTGAAAAAATAAATAATACTTAATTAGGATATCAGAACTTTTGTTTTTAAGTTTTTGAAATAATTTAAAATGGAACAAATGAAAATTCAATTTTATGATTTAAAATTTTTCCAATAAAGATATGAAGAGAGAATTTATTTATATTTTATCATTTGAATATAAACCATAAAATTCTCTCTATAAAATATTTATTATCTGTTGAGAAAATATTTTTCTACCTATAAAATACGAAATCATATTCATTTACGGAAGAAAATTTATTTCATTTTCAAAAACAAAATCCCTTGAGGTGATTTTTCACAATTTAATAGATTTCTTCTTTTCCGAGATATTTTAATTTTCAAATATAAGTAAAATATTAAAATGTTTTATTGTAAAAAAGAAAGATATGAATAGATAATAATTATTATCAATTTAGATATTAGATTAATCTGTTTTTTAATATTTAATTGAAAGAAAAAGTGAATTATTTATAAATTATTCCGTTGAGTTAGATTTTATTTTCATCAATCTTTAAAATATTTGTTTTATCATCTATTTTAAAAATAAAATTGTACCAGTCTAATTTTTAATTAATTTCTTTTCTGATTAAGATTTTCAATAGATCAGATTCAATAATAAAATATGAAAATAATATCAAATATTTGTTATTTATCTAATTGTTTTGAGATCTGTATCATAAATTTTAGAATGATTTATTTATTAATTTATTTGTAATCGAAAAATAAATCTCTAGTCGAGGGTGTGGAATGTAAGTTTCTTCTATATCCACATTCATTTTCAGGAGCTCCCTTTTATTTCTTCGCAGAACTATAGGGACTCCCTTACACTTCTTTACAAAGAAAACATACCAACAATAATCGTATTAAATATGTGCACAAGTGTCTATATTTTATTTCTAAGATTGTGATGCTCTATAGAATAAACTACGCCATAATTATGTGAAATATTTTTAGCATATGTAGCTTTTAGCCAGAGATCTTATAAAAATTCACTCTTTCAAAAATGAGCTAGAATCATAACTTCGTGACTCGTCAGTAGTTTTCTACTAAATTGTTCTGTATTGAAAGTTTTATATTTCAGCTGATCAAATAGTTTTTCTCTTACCCGATGTTGATTTAGTCTGCACAGATTGTTTTGTAGCTGGTTGTAAAAGAGTAATTGGAGGCTTTGTTTCTTTTAATTGAATCATGCGCAGGCCTGGTGCTGGTCGAAGACAACCTACTACAATAAATTGTCGAGCAGCCAGAAGAAGAACTTCTTTTTCCGACTGATAATACGAATGACGACTGATATCTTTGCCACTATCACATTCGATAGTAAAAAGTGTTCTTTGACCAGTTTTGTCTAGAAATTGTTCGTTTTCGAGTACTCCTATCGATGTTGTACATGAAGAAAACCCCCACCAGACAAATGTTTTTCCTTCAGTATATTGATTAGATAGATCTAAATTCACTCCACGAAACACATGGCGTCGTATGGACGGTAATTTTTCGAGTGCTGTGAGAATAAGTTTCAAATATGAAAACCATCGCTCTAGTTTTCGCCTGTCTTCAGTGCGAAGAGTTGCGTTGAGGGCAAAATATAAACATTCGTCATGTGGTTTCCATTCCATTGAGTAAAGCATGATTGAAGCTGATTCATCTTGTGTTAAACCATTGGGAGGTACGGATTCACATCTTTGTTTCGCAACATAAGCATAATCTTGAATTTCAGGTAAAATCGAAATAAGTGATGCAACAGCTTCTTCCAATGTCACTAGTGGCATTTTTTCATATCCTCGAATTGGCATGAGCATCTTTTGTGGTTCTTTAACAATATCCGATACACGTGCATACTGCTGTTGGTCAACATTTGCACCTGTAGCCATGTTTATATGAAAGAATATTTTCGAGTGACAAGCACAATGAATAGTCTACAAATAAAATTAGTATCATAACTGAATTAAAATAAAATGTATTTATTAGTCAAGTGCATTTCTTTGTAGTATTCTTATTAATTATAAATCTCAACAAAGTGGTTCATAGAGAATGCATTCTTACGCTATCATAGTTTGTTAATAAAACTAGGGTATGGGTGACTAAAGTATGGGGTGTAGATGTCGGTATTGAATCATTTCACACATACACGCACATCTTCGAATAAATGAAAATAAGTTCAAAAATTTATATCACATAGAAATGACTCATTTTTATGAACAAAATAAATAAATATGTTAAAAGAATAAAAAAAAGATATTACATGAAGATTTAATTATAATATAAAATAATCTATCGAATATTTTTTGATTATTCATTATAAAATGATAGTTCTATAAAATAAATACTAGATCAATCGATTCTTTTCTACTTAGATTTGTTTATATTCACTTGCTCCTTAAAGATCGTTCTAAGGTGTGGATGTGGATGAATACAATACTATGCTACATCCATACTCACATTCATACTTACACCATCGATAATAAACAAGGATGACAAATTTAATTTGAATTTTATCACATTTATGTATTACATGGACGATTAAATTATATTTTCACTATTAGATTTAAAACCATCAATAATTAAAGTTGTTTTATAATTTTTATATTCTTTCAAATTAATCATATCTGAATGAGATGCTAAACCTAAGTCTAAGAAATAAATATCATGCTTTTATAGTTGAAAAATCTTATAGTACATCAAAGTAGTTTCGAATAACTTTGATTTTATAGATAAAACATTTTTTTAACTCAATTTAACTGACAAAATAATATTAATTAAGTTTTATTTTTTTGATGTTTTAAAGTATAAATAGGAGAAAAGAACATTGGTGATCCTAAAATTTAATCATTCCTTCTCACTTTATTAATTTTCACTTGATTTCAATCACATTTTGAGAAGAAAAAATCAATTTAATACTAAACATATGTTATAAAACAAGTTGCGAAAACGAACATCTCTGTAGCGTCTACGATCATTGAAAAATCATAACACTGGCCTCATCAGAATTTAATTAAACTTTAAGCTTATCAGAACTTTTGTGGTTACAGTGAGCAACAGTTTGTACAAGTATATCCATCTAAACTCTACCTCACGCACACTGATCTCGAAGAGGAACAAAAAATGCTGTAAAAGAAGATAGGTTGAACAATACTTACTGACTTTAGTTATTTATAAATTACTTGCTGTTCTGTCTTTTTTAATGTGTATGTTGGTAATAGTTTCTTTAGTCAGAATAAATAAAAGTATGCACAGCTAATATAATTCACCTTTTATATATGAAGCTGAATAAATTCTTTTATCTTGATTTTTAAAAAGAATGATAAACAAGTTTATTCATCTAAGTTGGTAAGAAGTATCTGTTTTCTTCTACTGGTGATGATATTATTTATCTTCATAGAGTTTCTTTTCTGCTTGCAAAAGATAACAACAAAAGTCTTCAGGAGTGTGAGTATCGACGTGAATGTGGGTATTATATTCAACTTTTTCACACAATCACACATACACTACTGGTGTAACTGAGAGGATGAAAATGGACAACTATTTATTTCACCTGAAGCTTTGCTCATTTATATTTTACTTTTTCAAAATTGTACGCATATTTTCGAATACTTTAGTAACTGAATGTTATTCTTCCGTATGAATCAAAAGCACTCTCCTGCTTGTTCTTCATATGGAGAATGATGGAGAGAAGAACAAAAGGATCGCTTCTTACATTTTAGTTTTAAGTTTGGATGAACATGAAAAGTATGATGTTATTAGGAAAATATTAGCAGAGTGAAAGACTTTCTACTGTGAATTCAAATGAAATATTAAAATTATGTACATAAATACGTTCTCGCCGTCTTCACTTTGATGTCTGAATGTGGAATATAAATATTATAAACAGTGATATTAAAAATATACTAAAACACATCACATTCAGACTTCATATCTGAGTTTAATGATTAAAAATCTTTCTCTTTTTCAAGAAGAAAAATCAAAAACAAATTGGATAAAATCCAGGGAAAAGAATTTCAAACTTTCTTTTCAAAAATTATTTAGCTATAAGAAAACAATTTTTATTTTATTTTTCAATTATTTCTAAATTCTCCTATTGATAAAAAAAGATTTATTTAAATAAACGAAAAATTATTTATCACACAATTGAAATTTCCAATTTATTATCTCTCTCTAATTTTGACTTTTCAATAAAATAAAACAAATTTGATCGTTTGTTTATTTTTCTAATTTTTTCTTCTGAGAGAAACATTTGCCTCATCTAATTTGTCGATTTTGACAGATTTCAGTCCTATTCATTTATCTTCTCTTTTTTCCTTTCTCTCAATAAAACATAAAATTACAAAAAGAAATGTAAGAAAAAAGAATTTATTTCTATTTAGAAGTTTTTTTTATTAGTTTAAATGTTCATCTTAATTTAAAAAGTATTTTGTGCGATTTATCTATAAAAATAATATTTTTTCTAATTGAGTTTTCTTTGAAATTCTTTGAATTGGATTCATTTAAGAAAAATTCTATTTGAGTTATTTTATCCATTTGGTTTTTTCATTTAAAATTAAAATTAAAAAATATTTATTTAATTTTCTTCTAAAAATTAAAAACAAATTTATGTATTTTATGAGAAGAAATATTTTGCTTCATTATCATTTATTTTTGTTGAAGACTTTTCAAAAATAAAAATAAAAGTTTTATCAAATTAAATTAGAAATATTTTTAACTTAAAATCTTTTCATATTTTTGGATTCGATGATTTTTACGATCAGCAACATAAAGATTTCCTTCATTATCAAATGATAAACCACAGGGACAACTCAATTGATTTGATTGATTTCCTTCATCATTTCCTCCAACAACAATTTCACCTTCCTTATCTCCTTCACACCAACGCATTATTCGATGATTCCGAGAATCTGCCACATAGATTTGGCCCAAATGATCAACAATCACTCCTCGAGGACTATGCAATTGTTTGAGACTATTGCCATCACCATTTCCACCAGCAACGATAATTCCTTCTTTTGCATCTTTTTTCCATTTCATTACACGATGATTCGAAGAATCTGATATATAAAGAGAATAATCATCATCAATAAAGATATAAGTGGGATTGTCGAGTTGATTAAGATGATTTCCTTTACCATTCCCACCTGCAACTAATTCACCTTTTTTATCTCCTTGCTTCCATCGTCGTACTTCATTATTCTCATAATCAGAAACATAAAGAAATCCATTTTTATCAAGTGTCAGACCCCAACAACCAATGTTTGAAATAAGAATTTGTTGATTTGTTTGATTTTGATCAAAATATCGAATTACTCGTTTGTTCCCATAATCAGAAATAATAAAAGAATTATTATTTTTATCAACAATTATATCTGCTGGAGAATACAATTGATTATTTTGGTTTCCCCTACCATTTCCGCCTGCAATGATTTGGCCAGTGTTTGAATTTAATCTCCATTTAACAATACGATGATTTCCAAAATCAGCAATATAAATGGATTTATCATTATCAATAAACATCCCACAGGGATTGTGGAGTTGATTTAATTCCTGTCCATCTCCATTTCCTCCAGCAACAGTAATTGCAGATTGTTGGAATTTATGTTTTTTTGTTTGAATTTGTTCTAAAATTAAAGATTTTCTTTTTATTCAAAATCTTTTTCATTATTTGTAAATCAAAAAAGGGTGAACATAAGAAGAAAAAGTTATATTTAAATTTGTTTTAATGAAATAAAATTTTTTTCTTAATGAACAAAACTAAGTTCAAATAATTCCTTCGCTTAAGTCATATTTTTCAATTCAAAACTGTTTATTTGATTTTCATAAAAGTTTAACTTAGAAAAATCTTTTTTTAAATGAAAGTCATTTTTATTTCAATGATTTAAATAGAATTCATTAAAAACTTCTTTTTTATTAATAAATTAAATAATTCGTTTATTTAAGAATTCTAAACTAAAAAGTTGAACTTAACTTAAATTTATTCAACGATTTAAAAAGAATCTAATTTTTTTAGATAAAAAATTCATAAGGGTGTGAGTGAAGGTAAGAGATAGACTCCTTACTTTCACCCACACGCACACCCTATTTTTAGACTTATCTCGATCTTATAATTGTTCAATTTCAACATTTGAAACTTTTCTTTCTAAATCTTCAATTAATTAAATTCCCTAATGAGATATCATTAATCTCGTTCATAAAATTAATTTGTAATACGAAAAACTTAAAGAAATACTTCGGTTAAACTTCATTTTTTCTTATGTCGAAATGAAATAATTGAATAAACATACCGAATGACGAAATGACTGAAATTTTCTTGATAAATTCTTGTGAATCTTGTCGAATAGAAATATTTGATGGTTGAAGAAATTCTTTTGTAATTTGTGTTAATTTTAGTTGAAAATGATTTAAATCAATTTCATTAAATTCATTTTCTTGACGAATTCCCTTTAATTTTTGAGATAATTCACTAAACTTTCTTTCAATATCATTGATCGACTTTTGTGTCAATTTTATCACTGTTTCTCGACATTGTTGTGCTGTTAGTTGAATTTTCTCAATTGAATTTGTTTCCCATTCATTGATTTGTTGAATTAAAGAAGAATTGTGTGGATTTTGTTTTTGTTCAATGATTGTTTGTTGAAATTGATCGTGATCATTAACAATTTCATCTAACTGTCTGTCAAGAATCTGTCGATGTTCTGTTAAATGTTGAAAACAAAAGTCTTTTGAACATCCACGACAAATATATGTCGTATTTCCTTTATTACAAACAGAACATTGTGCTCTAATGTTTGCTGCTGCCATTTGTTGAAGAATTAGAAAAAGAAATGAATTTTTGTTTTCATTTTGTGTTTGAATTTTTTTATACAAAACAAAATGAGTCAAAGTCAATAAAAATCAGTAGGTAGTAAAAGAACGAAGAAGAACTTTTTTGGCAGTTAAGCAAAAATTTCCATCATAAAAGCAGTTTGATATTAATGGGCATTAAATTAAAACTATGTCTCTTTGAAGAAGATGAATTATGAGAATTTTATTGATCTTCATCTTTTATATGAGTTGAGATACAAATAATATTGTAATTTTCATTGAATAACAAAATGAAATTTTGAATAGATGTTATTAATCTACTCAATTCTCTTTACTTCACTAAGCAGTTTAATACTTTTAGACATGATGATCAAGGTTTTTCTTGAACGTCTCTTAAGAATGCTCATTAAATATGTTTAAATAAACGATTGATCTAAAATCAATCGACTTGAATTCGAAGAAAATAAAATGGAAAGAACAGTTATTTCGTGGTGTTGAATTCCTCATTATTAATTGTTTTTTCCGAAAGAATAAACTCAATGAAATCAGGGGAAATATCTTTTTTCATCAAAAGAAAAATCAATTTAAAACTGTTTGAAAATTTTCATTCGACTTATTTATTTATTTTTCTCTTTTAAAACTAAACATAAATGTTAATTGAATATCAATCAAACATTGATATTATTAAATAAAGATGTATTTATAATTATTATTAATGACAATTCAATTGCTTATTGTCTTATTTATTCTCAATTATGTTGATAAAGATACTGGTTACATTAAGATATATATATATAAGTTGGAAATACTTTTGTCAAGGTTTAGCACGTCTTCTTGAAAGGATTGTTATAGTAAATTATTAATGAATCACATCGACTAGACAGATGTAGTAATATTTCTTAGAAAAAACAAACTCATTTTCGAATATTCTTTAAGTAAACGTATTCGTAGAAACAAGAATGAATGCAGATTAATTAGTAGTATGACTTAGTTAATGTTCAAATGTAATTGTCATAAAACAATCTTCAAGTTCCATCAGTAGTGTTTAGAGTATGTAATACTCTTTTAATTCATAGGAGTACAATCTCTATCCTGACGAATTTTTTTATGTATTGTAGATAAAAACAGACTATTTGAATACAGTTGTAATTTTACGTAACTCTCTATCACCGTATTAATATACGATAAATAAGTTGAATACTATTGGATTATTTTTGAAGTAGATGTTTTATATGGGTCTAATACGATTATGAACTATTGTCATGTGGTGCCAATGGTTCAGCATCCATACAGTAAATTCGGGTAGCAATCGAATACAAATCCATGGCAATAGGAGACAAACTAAATAAATCATATCAAGAGCATAGTCGAGCTGAAATTGAGCTAATAAAAAGTTGTAGAGATTAATTGTTGGCCAAGTCCAATGAGAAGACTAGGTAGACAAGCAACTGAATAAAGACTAGAGATACTAAATAAGTGTAATGTCATACGCCTCTATTTTCTTATAGAAATATGTTGATGATTCATGTCACGAGTATTATATTAGCCAAAATAATAACAACAATCGGTAAACAATTACTGACTCCCTAATCAAATATACTTAGAATTCTATTATAAACAAGATCACAATTTGCGTAACCACACACATTATTTGTGAAATCCTATTGGGTACCATCGCATGGATAGAATATAATGACGATCATGTAGAATATGATCGGATAAATAAGACACAATATAGATGGTAAGTAATATAACAGAAAACGCACGAAACATTAATATATGTCGTTGAATAGAAATAACAGTCATTAAAAGTTCACTTGTTAAATTAAGACTATTCAAAAAATGTCCACCATGTACAAAAACCTGCTGTAGAAGGAGTAACATAATTAAGAAAAAATAAAAATGAATAGGCATTAGTAAATCAGCGGAGAGAAGGAAAAAATAGACAATTAATAAAAATAATATTACTTGATTTTGATATACATTTAAACGGGTATGATAAGTAATGAAAAAGATGAAAAATAAAAGAAATATTATAATTGATGGAATTTGTAAACTGACTAAAATAATAAATTTAACTCGATGAAGAACGAATGTATCATTATTAACTAATTCTTCACTAGAAATATTCATTGTTTGAACAAATTAAACAGACTTAAAAATATTATCTTGAATGACTTGCGTTTTATTATTATATTAGATAGTCAAAGAAATATATTTTATTCTTTTTTGACTTTCAATAATATAATTGCATAAAATAAAATACTAAATTATATCTTTGACATATAGTAGAATAAAGTTTCAATACAATAAGTATTTTATTAGAAAAAGAGCACAGAAATTCATATCCGCTAGTCTGTTCTAACAGCAATATATATTGCTTTAGTACATCGAGGGTGTGGGTGTGGATCACATTAAGACATGAATACCATCTACACCCACACTCTCAGAGCATGCTCATCCGATTTGGTATTGAATTTTATCATTGTAAACATGTTTTCATTCGATTTGAATGAAAAATACATGTGTTACATCTGAATGACCTGCCCAATTTTCCTATACCTTCAGTAAAACGAATTTTTCTCCATAGAGAAAATAGAACAAAATAAAAACGATGCATTCTTTTATGGGGGGCTGGCATGATAATTCAAATGAAAAACAAAATTGGCTCTCTCACTTCCCTAGAAAAACAAGATAGGTTTGTTAGATCGATCTATAAGTACTGTAGTGGAAGGTATTAGAAGTACCGCTATAAAAATAATTTTTGAGTTAATACCAATTTCAGAGCTTTTCTAGAATCAGTTTTTGATGTTGAATCCGAACATAATATTTTCTATAAGTTCCAAGAAAAGAAACATGGTGATTTTTGAGAAAACTTAGGTTTTCCAGGTATTTCGTGGTTTTTGACTAGAAAACAGTTAACGCTCTATCGATTCATGTATGAAAAAAGCAAAAATAGATTTCACTCGATTTTTACATTGTCTGTACCTTACAAATCTCAATAATAATATAACAGTTATTCACATATTTTACAACTCTTCTTTCCTTTCAGTTTTCTGAGGAAAATAAATTGTCTCATTTATTTATTTGAAATTTGTCAAAATCATTTCTTTGAACAAATTGCTAATCATTATTTATACTTTATTTATTAAACATCATCACTATTATCTTTTCTTCTTTCGTTATTATTTCAATGACACGAAACAACAATATCATCAAATCATCTTCTATCACAAAACCAGTCAATTCATCATTCGAATCTTTTTTTTATCTTTTTATATAATCATAAACCATAAAATCAAAATTAAAATAGAAAATATTTCATTATCATTATTACTATCAACACAATAGATCAAATCAAATAAATCAACAAATTTATTTCTTTTAACAAGAATCTTATTTACACAGAAACCATTAATTCGATCTATTCTTCTTTTCACTGTATCATTCATTTTATTTATTCATACACACACAACTTTAAAACACGAAAATATTCTTCAATCTTACTTTCTTATCCTCTCAGATTATTTCATCTTCAGTAGAATTTCAAATTAACTTCTATATGTATTTTAATCGAATCAGAAAATTTAGTTTTAATTATTAAAATACAATATGAAATCAATCACAACAAAATTAACAAATAAAATCAAGTTTTTATTTTATTATTTTAAATCAAAAATATAAAAAAATTATTTATTTTAACAAATTAAATCGAAAGAGATATTTATCAATAAATCAAAATGAATTCAATCATTAACAAAAATTCATTTTGAATTTTTACCTTTATTTATTTTTTAATCAGAATAAACAAAAACATTTTCACAAAAATTTAGTTATTGATTTCATCATCAATGTCAACAAATTTAAATTCAACTCAATTTCATATTTTTGTATTCGATTATTGTGACAATCAACAACATAGAGATTACCTTGAGCATCGAATGATAAACCTGTGGAATAAAACAACTGATTTGATCTATCTCCCCATCCATTTCCACCAACAACAATACTACCTTCTTTAGATCCTTGACAACAACGCATTACTCGACGATTGTTGCAGTCAGCCACATAAACATTACCCAAATGATTGACAATCACTCCTCGAGGATAATACAATTGTGTCAAACTATTTCCTTCACTTTTTCCACCAGCAACAACAATACCTTCTTTTGCACCTTTCATCCATTTCATCACACGATGATTCTCAAAATCCGATACATAAACTGAATAATGTTCATCAACGAAGATGTAAGTAGGAAAATGGAGTTGATTGAGATGATTTCCTTTTCCATTTCCACCTGCTACTAGTGTTCCTTCTTTCTCTCCTTGTTTCCATCGTCTCACTTCATTCTTCTTGTAGTCGGAGACATAAAGATCTCCATTGTTATCCATTGCTAAACGAGAACAATCAATGTTAGTAATAATTGTTTCACCATTTGTACCATTTTGACGAGACCATCGTACTACTTTCCTGCTTCTGTAATTACAAATGATGAGAGAATCATTCTTTTTATCAACAATCACATCTGTTGGATATTTCAATTGATCACTTCGATTTCCATATCCATTTCCACCTGCAACAACTTGACCATTCTTTGCTCCATATTTCCATTCAACAATACGATGATTCTCATAATCAGCAATATAAATAGTTTGATGATCATCATCAACATAGATACCTTCAGGACAAAAGAGCTCATTTAATTGATTGCCTCGTCCATTTCCTCCAGCAATAGTAATTCCATGTTGTTTCCATTTTGTATTGATATTAATAGGATTGACAGGAATTGATTGTCCTAAAAGAAAAAAGATTTTATTTATATTTGAATGAAATTGATGAATAAATGTGAATAAAAAATGTGTTATTTTCAGATGTAATAAAATAAAAATGATAATTTGTATAAAAATGTTTGTTGAGGAATTGCTTTGTTGAATTAGTTTGCTGAGAGGCCGAAGATGAAATAAAATGAAAATGATTTGAATTAATGTAATTTAACATTTATTTAATAAAATTGTTTTTGTATTTGTAAAATAAAAAGTGAAAAATATTTAAATTTATATTTATATTTAAAAATAAAATTTAAAAAAAGATATATTTTTCATTGTAAATCTAATTAGAATGCGAGAAACATAATGAAGATATTTGAAAGAGAATATTATATTCTTTTATATTTTACATTTTCTAATTTCAATTTTTATTTGATAAAGAAATCTTTTCTTCTATAAAATCTTGATCAATAAAACTAAATTCTATACATATTTAACAAAAACTGCACAGGAACATTGTTACAGTTTTAGTTTTTTGTTTAACAAAGATTCTTAACAATGAAAAATGAAAGCGAGAGAAATTAGAATTAAACAGATTTTTTCGTAATTTTAACAGAAAAGAAATGACTTTGATTTATAAATAAAGAAGATTGATCAATGTTTTAGATGAATGAGAATGAAGTTCTAGATCTTTTTCTATCAGAATAAAAACAGAACATAAAGTTGTGATGATGTTTTCAGAATAGATCTTACAGTATGAAAAACTAATCTCATTCATATCGAAATCAATTTCAATGAAAGAGAATAAAATGGATGCGAGAAGAATTGTCAACATTATTCATAACCATACACATTTATTTCAACCTTTTTTCTTGACAAATTTTGTACAAATGTACCGAATTAATATTAAAAAACAGATTCATATTTCTCATATTTATTCAAATATGACTTTTTTCTAAAATCTAGTTTTATCTCTCTAAATTTGCTATTGTGTTTGTAAAAAATTTATTTTTATTTTGAGTTGAAAAAAAATTGAAATTGTTTATTTCTTAATCATTAAAATATCAAAAACATTATTTTACACTTTCTAAATGAAAGATTTTTAGTTTTGAATTAGTTTTTAAATTTAATATTCAATGAGTTCATTTAAATATAATGATCAACGCCTCCACAACAAAAACTGTATGTGTATTATAAACTAAAACCGAACACGTTTGGTTATTTCTCGATACTCCTCAATAGTAATCATCGTGGAACAATGATTACTCCAATGGATGCAGTTTAGCCCACTTTGAAATACGTGAAGTAAAAACAGAGACGATAAACATTTTATGTGAAAAAAGTACAAAATGTCATGATGTCGTTTATCATAAGTCATGTCAATAGTCTTACTTGAACAATACCAAACAGATGAACCTTTGAGAAAAAATGAATTTCTGTACTATTCAAATCGTGATCTACTCTATACCTTCCTAACATTTCGACACATGTTGGCTAATCGTTCCACGCATACATTCTTTACGCTGATACAAAATGCGACGAATTGAAATGACGTTTTTCATACCAAAAAGAGATTTTGGTCACAGCATGTTCTATTGTCACATGGATAAAATATAGATATGATAATGTTTTAAAAGCTAAACCATTCGAGTACAGCCATCAAGCTCTTTTACTTATGCAAGACTTCCCAAAAAGTGACTTTCCATATGCTCTTGGCTTTTTTCTGAGCAAATCTATTTCGAATGGAAAACTATCTATATTTCAGAAACTATGATGATCTATAATCGTCACGGCATAGATTTATCCCTTCAGTTTTTGTAAGCGAAGAAGTTTGTCGAACTATTGATGAAATGATTGATTGACCCTCCTCAGATGAAAATGATTGGCAAAGCTTTTTATTTGTCGTTTCAGTTTGTTAATATTTAACTACTACACATGGAATAGTTTTCATCAATATAATAGTTAGTATCATAACTACGGAGTTTCGAAAAATTCATAAGTGAAGAAAAGTTTTAGTCTGTTTGTAAACTTTTTCCGTAGATTCAGTATTTATTATTTTATCGTAAATTATAATTATAGGAAAAACAGATTTTTTTTATTCTTTTCCTAATGTACAGTAAAATCAGTATTTCTTTCATTTTATTATAATTGATTAAAATCATTCATTTATATTAGAAATTCAATTAGACATGTCATACTATATAACTTAACTTATAAAAATGATATCGAAGGAAAGCTTTTTCTTTTCCTTTTTCTTCTAGACATACATGAAAGTGTTGCTTTGATTTCCATATATTTACGAATTTATGTTAATCACTAAGTTCTTCATCTATATTCGTACTCGAATTAGATATCTGATGTAATATTCACATTCTCTTATATGATTTACTACTGAATAAAGAGGTCTTACACTTTATTCATATAAGTGTCATGATTTAGAAAGATAAACGAAGGCCTAAATATTAATGTTATCGTAAAAAAATGTGTAACAGCCTAATAATAGGAGATGATAAACTATAAATAGAGTTGATGTTAGTCAATATTGAATATATCGATTTGATTTCAATTCTAAAAAATTTCTTGTCATCTAAAATGACTAACTGATCAACGCAAAACAAAACTTTTTTTAAAGAAATATTTATTTCTTTCGAACCGGTTTCATCTTTCTAAATTTTTAAAGATTTTGTTTGGCGATAAAAAATTGACTTTCACATAGATCATTCCCTTGAAAATCAGAGATTTTCTTTCAGTAAACTTACCGGTGGAAAGTTTTATTTTTTTAATAATTGGATTAACAGTTAATTGATTTTTATTTTTGATTGTGAGAGATTTTTGGTGCCACTGTACACTCATATCAAAGTCGCCTGTTTGTGATGCCAATTCACCAAGATCTTCGTATAAACTGCTTATTAAAGGATCATTTGATGGAAGTTCTTGTAATAAACGATTAAAATACTTTTCAGCCAAGTCAAGTTTACCCATTTTCCATAATAATTTCCCTAATGTCCGAAGATTTATTTCTTCACTTTTAATTTGTTGTTTCATATACATAAGAACTTGTTTCAAATCATGTTCATCATCATCACATAAAGTCATTTTAATGATCCATATTTGATCATCATTACGATCAATACTATTGAGACGAAAAATAGAACCAATCATAAAGAGAACTTCTGATTCATCTGGAAAATAACTATGTTTACTAATATTAGCAAATGATTTTGTATTCACCATCTTAGGATCAGCATCAATCTAAAATAATACTCGTTCTGAATCAATCTGTGTAGTTAGATCGCCTAGGAGAAAGAGAGCAGTTGAACTTTCATCACTGGTGGAGAAAAATGAATTTACTGAGACGAACTGGCCGATGTTTTGTTTAAGACTATTTAATTCATGGTTTGACATTAGTTGACATCGATAAACGCGTATAACCTTCTTAGATTGATATTTTTGCAATTGACGATAAATATCATAAATAAATGATCGGAATAAAAATATGATATGAATATTTTGTGTACGTAAAGCTGCATTGAGAATCTTGTAGCAAAATGATTCTCTTGTGTACCACCATAATACTTTATCAGGTGAATAATCTTGAAATTCACGAAGATTGTTTAGTTCGGTATCATTTCCTTCATATTGATTTTCACAAAGATTAATAAGTTCATTTTTGTCTGTCTCAGTGGATTTTAATCGTAGAAGACAGTCAACAAGAATTTGAGAAAAAACAAATTGTCCATTAACTCCTGTAGTTGATTTATCTCTACCAATATTTGTTGTGAAAATATTGATTGATAATGGTTCTTCTACCTTTTTCTGAAGTTTATGATCTGTTGTAATTTGAGTGACAAGTTCTTCAAGATCAACAACAACATATTTTATCTATAGAAAAAATGATAAAATGAAACAAATATCTTTTAGCATAGTTTTACTTTTGAAAATTTGAAAGTCCATTGTTCATTATTCTTCTTATCGATACAATAAACATAAATTGATATAACTTGTCGAAGTTGATGAATGGAGGGTACTATTTCTTGTCCTAATCGACCACTAACAACAAGTATTAATCGATCCTTTTGTGATGTTTGTTCAATATATTGTTGACATTGTTTTACATCTTGAAATTTCTTGATATGATTAATAATAGAACGTAATTTTACTTCTGTGTCTCGAGTGCCTTTAACATTTACATTTGCATCTAGCCAAATAAGGGAGAATATTTCCAGAGACTTATCATTGGTGTTTGTGTGGATATCATCATTTAGTAGAACAGCAGTGGCCATGTTAATTCAAGAAACTAAAAACAGAGTAGAGTTCTTAGATGTTATGTTATCTGTTTGATCCATATGTAATTATCGAAGAAATTGTGTGCTTTTGACAGTCAAAAAAAGAAGGTGGTATTTTCATGTCAGTTTTTTTCAAACTTAGATGTCAATCAACAGAATAAAAGAATGACATGTTATTATTGATTAAAGAAATGGGTCTGGGTGTGGATATTGTATTAATCATACACCACCCACACGCACACCCTAACTAATAAAAATATTTCTGTATACGACATGAATAATAATATTATCTGAGGTAAACATGAAATAATGATCGAACAAAACATTAACCTACCTTAGAAGACGAAGTGAGAATCAACAAGATATTTGGAAAGAGTTGGTTGAGAAAATGAAAAATGAGTGGATTAAGTGAAAAGAAATCTTATATGCACGATGCTTTTCTCTGTTCTTTGTATTCGTATGTATTTGCATAAAGTAACTCTTGTTCGTCTCTTTTGCTCGTTCTTGTCAACCTATAAAAGAATTTATTGCGAGCAAATAAAAACGACAATGGAATAAACTAAAAGCTGCTTAACCCTCGGTTACTGTTGTGGAGTCCGCGTGGACCCACTTTACAGATTTTCGTCTCGCACTACATAACTATTTACTGTTTCGAGTCATTTGTTTTATGTAATCTTTAGTCATTAGTAGATGAACAATATCCATATGAAAAATCATGCCCAGATGTAAGAGAGAAAAAATGTGGATATGGGTCCACGCGGACCCCAAAACACTAATGAAGGTTTATATATGATTTTTCGCTTTTCTATAACTACCATCTGTTGCGTATCGGTTTATTTTCAAATTAAATACGTTCTGATTCGTTTGCACGTTCACCTTCCATAACAGTAACTCACATTTTCTTTGTAAATTGCTAAATTTTTACTATGCTTTGTTAAAAACTAGTATAAGTCAATTTTTTTCCTTCGCATCGTGCGTTCTTATATTGCCTCTAAAACAAACAATAAATAAGTCTGTAGAGAGGAGAGTATTTGGAACTTTATAATATATAAATGAATACCTTACATAAAGTAAATTCATCATTTTTTGTACTTTTTACGAGATGGGTCCGCGTGGACCCCAGGACACTGTTCAAGTTATAAAATGAGGACGGTAACCGAGAGTTAAAAACGAATCGGTTTTGATAAAAACAGTAACTTGAAGAAAGGAGCACAAATATATCGAAAAACATACTGAGTCAGCCATAAAAATATGACATATACGAAATAAATTATTTATTAATGTCTAAAAACTAACTACGTAAAAGAATAAATAGCTTTAAGAAAAAGAATTGACGGATCGTATAAAACATTTTGTAAACGACTTAGCGTGTCTGTTTTCAAGAAGAAATTCAACATTTATTGTGCAATTAAAATTTGATTTTCAATACTTCCCCTATAATTGTTTTAGTAGAATCATTATCAATAGCGATTGATTTCTGAAAAGATTACATTTCATATATAGTTCCTATGAATTTTATCTTGTACATGATAATTCACACATGATAAATAAAAATAATTATAACAACAAAAAATAAATACCTATTCATATTCATATCCATTAAAAGAGTAAAGAAAAGAAAAGATAATCATTATTTGATCGAAAACAAAATAAAAAATAATTTCTGCATATAAATATTAGTCAAGTGATTTATTTTCATTCTCATTTTATTGATTGCTGAATTATTTATTTCTGTTTTTAAACTAATTCATAGAAAACCATTTTTATTTAAATCAAACGGTTTTAATCGAAGATTAACAGATAATAAAAATCAAGTATATTATTCAATTTCTATTGAAAACGTTTTAAGAAATATTTTCAGTAGTAAATATAATAAATGTATTTGATTTATTATGAAAATAAAATATAATGCTATTTATGTATAATCATTAATCAAGAATATAAACAACTTAATTTTTATTGATAAAAAACACATTTTTTGTTAATACAATAAAATATAAAGTATTCAATGAAATGTTTAAATGTTGAAAGAGATGATATAATTAAAATAGAAATTGATCAAATGTTTTGTCTCCTTCGAAATAAAACAAATCAAATTTTGATTATTTTATTATTGTACAATAAATATTAATTAATTCATAATCATTCAATAATATTCATCATTGACTTTTCTTCTGATTAATACTTTGATGAAGTTTTGTATTTTATACTAAAACAAATAAAATACTGACTAACAATCTTAAATGAATATTTGTTTCTCAAATAATTCCTTAAGTGATCAATTTTCTTGAAACCAAACAATTTACTTTTACAAATTCAAAGATATTTAAACATAATACAAAGCATTCATTATAATACAAAAAATATTAATCATATTATTGTAATAATAATAATAATAAATGACACAAAATTTAATTCTATTGCTATTAAACTAAATTGAATGTCTCATGTAAAATGCCGCAGGAATCTTTGCATTCACAGATATACTTTTTCTTGTCTTTTGGTGATATCCGTGTATTTTGATAGTCGAACTGTTAGTTATTATTATTGTGAAATATCTTTAAATAAGACAATATTGTTTGAGAAAATGTGCAAATCTTGTTGCTCTTAAAATTGATTTTCGGGTACAATGAAAACAGCGTATGAATTCTACGAGGTCTGATGTTCTGCCTCTCCTCTTCCATGACAACGAGACAGAGTATACACTCTTACTGCTATACTTATTTTATCAACATAACTAAATTCAGTTAATGAACTTAGTTGAATTGAATTGAATTGATCATCTTTCTCAGTTGAATTGTATAACTGTGATTTATTCTAACTGATATTTTTTATCGAAGATTATTCTCTTGGAAATCTTTTCGTATCACCACTGGATAATCAATATTTTCGTGAAGTGAGTTGAATCTTTTATTTAATTATTAAACAGTTGTCTGTATTACAGAATCAATCTATTTTTGATGATTTAATTTGAGAATTTGTACTATTGCGCTAGAATATGTGATTATTTAATTAAACTTATAGCAAATATGTCTATGAATACATTAGAAAATATAAACTTGAAATCATTCTCTATTCTTGTACAATTAACATGAACAACTACTGGAAATATTTCTTTCGATTTAATTTAATATTTGATAAATATGTTTATGAAGATGCTTTATATGTATCTACATGTATTATTCAATGCATTAATAATGTTCTCACTGTAAGTATTAAATATTTATTTAAAATAAAATATTGAAAGTCAATAAAAGGACTATTACAACAACAAACAAATGTTTTTTATGATGATTATAATGAATTTATTTTATGAAACTTAAATGAAGATGAAAGGCGACGGTAAGTTTCAATCATTTTTTTGACCCAAGAGCGAGACATATGTAGGTTTGTAGAGAAAATTTTCTCTATCGAATAGTGTATATATGATCGAATTCTGTTGTGTGCCGAAAACATTGATTTTTGACTTGAAATCAAGCTAATTAGAGATTCGCATCGGAGTCAACTAAATTTTTTTCCTATAATTCATTTTTTACATTGAATTGTTTTCTAAATTGAAGGTTTTATTCTCTAATATTTTTCTCAACAAATTGACATTTCTTGAGGGTCCAATCGATATTCTATTGCGGTTCACGGACACAAACGAAAGTTGGGGTCAGATTGAGGGAGTGGGTGTGGCTTTCACAGTTAAATTGATATTCACACAATCGCCCACACTCACACCCATCTTTTTTCTTATCTCTTCCCTTTCTCTCAATAAATCATAAAATCACAAAAAGAAAAATTAATAAAATTTCTATTTAGAAGTTTTCTTTTATTAATTTAAATGTTCTCCTGAATTTAAAAATATTTCATTTGAGTTTTCTATAAAAATGAAATTTTTTCTAATTTAAGTTTCTTTCCAATTCTTTTAATTTAATTTATTCCAAAAAAATTCTCTCCGAATTATTTTATTCATTTGGTTTTTTAATTTCAAATTAAAGTTACAGAATATTTATTTTGGTAAAAGAAGTTTTATTTGTTTATTTTTATTTATTGTTGTCAAAGAATTTTCATAGTTTAATGTTTTTTATTTAGCTTCAAATATAAAAAATAAATATTTTATCGAATTAAGTTACAAATATTTTTAATTTAAAATCTTTTCATATTTTTGAATTCGATGATTTGCATAATCAACAACATAAAGATTTTCTTCATTATCGAATGATAAACCCATGGGACAATTCAATTGATTTGATTGATTTCCTGCACCATTTCCTCCAACAACAATTTCACCTTCTTCATCTCCTTCACACCAACGCATTATTCGACGATTCCAAGAATCTGCCACATAGATTTGGCCCAAATGATCAACAATCAGTCCTTGAGGATAATACAATTGTTTGAGACTACTTCCTTGACCATTTCCACCAGCAACAACGATTCCTTCTTTTGCGTCTTTTTTCCATTTCAGTACACGATGATTCTCATAATCTGATATATAAAGAGAATAATTTTCATCAATAAAGATATAAGTAGGACAACTGAGTTGATTAAGATGATTTCCTTGACCATTCCCACCTGCAACTAATTCACCTTGTTCATCTCCTTGTTTCCATCGTCTTACTTCATGATTCGCACGATCAGAAGTATAAATAAATCCATTTTTATCGATTGTCAGACCCCAACAAACAATATTTGAAATAAGAATTTGTTGATTTGTTTGATTTTGATCAAAATATCGAATTACTCGTTTGTTTCCCTCAGCAGAAATAATAAAAGAATTGTTTCTCTTATCAAAAACCACATCTATTGGACAATCCAGTTGATTATTTTGATTTCCTTGTCCATGTCCACCTGCAATGATCTGACCAGTGTTTGAATTTAATTTCCATTTAATAATACGACGATTATCACAATCAGCAATATAAACTGATTTATCATTATCAATAAATATTCCATGAGGATAATTGAGCTGATTTAATTGATGTCCTTCTTTATTTCCTCCAGCAACAGTAATTGCAGATTGTTGAAATTTATTCTTTTTTATTTGAATTTGTTCTAAAATAAAAGATTTTCTTTTTATGCAAAATCTTTCGCATTATTTTTAAATCAAAAATGGGCGAAAATAAGAAGAAAAACTTTTATTTGAATTTGTTTTAATAAAATAAAATTTTCTTCTTGTTAAATTTAATTTTTGATCGAACAAAGCTAATTTCAAATAATTTCCTCATTTATTCAGATTTTTTAACTCAGAAATTCTTTATTTGATTTTCATAAAAGTTTTTATTTAGGAAAATGTTTTTAAAGCAAAGTCATTTTTGCTGCAATGATTCAAATGAAATCGATTAAAAACTTCTTTTTTATCAATAAAACTGTGTTGATAAATATCAAAACAGTAAAATTTGAATTAAAAACTTAAGTGTCTTATAGAGATTGATAAAAATTAATCATCTGGAATTCGAATAACTTAAATTAAAAGAAAATTTATGAAATTTCACTATTAAGAAAAATATTCTTGAGAAGAACTAAATTGTATTTGATTAAATAAAGAACAAAGAATAATTTTTTAATTATAAAATGTTTCTTTTCAATTGATTCAATTGATCTTTTACTAAAATGATAAAATTTCTATATGAATTTGATATTTATTTCGTTTCTCTAATCAATAAATTTTTTAATTATAAAATATTTTAAAGTCTAAAGATAAATTTAAGTATTCATTAATTGTTTGTAATAGAAAAAAATCTTTTATCTTGTTTTGATTTATTTATTTTGATGTTTAAGAAAATAATTTTAGATGATTTATACTTTAATGATATGAAAATATAAAATTAATTTCAAATCTTCATAATAGAAATAATCGTATGATCAACAATTTTATAAATTCCCAGAAAGTTTAAAATATCTTGTTTGATAAATAAAAGACAAGGTCAAAATTAATACTTTCTAATTAAATTAAAAAAAGTCAAAATGTTCAATAAATAATTAAGAAAATGATTTGAAGTTGTCATTTAGTTTTAAAGGAAATAAATATTTATAACATAGATAAATATTTTAAATAAATTCTATTGATGAAATGATGATATTATTTGTGAAGAAGAATGTTTTTTAAATAATTAATCAATTAATTAGAATATTATGAAAATATTTTTATGACGAAAAAACAAAATTAAAGTAATTAATTTTAATTTTCAATAAATATATCCAATTCTTACTTTAATCATAATTTCTTTTTAAAAAACTATTCGAAGGATTAATTTGATTAACAGTTTTATAAAAGTTTTTTCAATTCTGAAAAATATTTATTTTAATGAAAAAATAAAACCTTCGATATTAAACTTTGTTCTTATTCGTATAAATTAATTTATAAAAAATATTTTAAAGTACTAAAGAATATCAATATAATATTTTTGTTTTGAACAAAATAAATAATAATTAATTAGGATATGAGAACTTTTGTTAAAGTTTTTGAAATAATTTAAAATGGAACAAATGAAAATTCAATTTTATGATTTAAAATTTTTCCAATAAAGATATAAAGAGAGAGAATTCATTCATATTTTATCTTTTGAATATAAATCGTAAAGTTTTCTCTATAAAATATTTATTTTCTGTTGAGAAAATATTTTTCCATCTATAAAATACGAAATCATATTCATTTACGAAAGAAAATTTATTTCATTTTCAAAAACAAAGTCCTTGTAGATGTTTTTTTATAATTTAATAGATTTCTTCTTTTCCGAGATATTTTAATTTTCAAATATAAATAAAATGTTAAAATATTTTATTATAAAAAGACAGATATGAATAGATAATAATTAATATTAATTTATATATTAGATTAATCAGATTTTTAATATTTTATTGGAACAAAAAGTTAATTTATTTATAAACTATTATGGCGAATTAGATTTTATTTTCATCGATCTTTAGAATATTTGTTGTATCATTTATGTTGAAAATAAAATTGGACAAGTATAATCTTTAAATATTCTATTTCTCAATTAAGATTTCCAATAAATCAAATTCAATAATAAAATATCAAATATGTTTTACGCATCTAATTATTTTGAGATCTGTATCATCAATTCTCGAATGATTTATTTATTAACTTATTTGTAATTGAAAAACTAACGTCTGGTCGAGGGTGTGGAGTATGAGTTTCTTCTATACCTACATTCATTCTCAGCAGCTCCCGTTTATTTCTTCGTAAAACTATAGGGACTCTCTTACACTTCTTTGCAAATCCTTAGGGACATCCTTACAGTTTCTTGAGAAAGAAAACATACCAACAATAATCGTATTAAATATGCGCACAAGTGTCTATATCTTATTTCTAAGATTGTGATGCTCTATAGAATAAATTACTCTATAATTATGTGAAAGTTTTTTAGTATAAGTAGAATTTAGCCAGAGATCTAATGAAAATTCACTCTTTCGAAAATGAGCTAGAATCATAACTCTATGACTCGTAAATAATCTTCTACCGAGTTGTTCTCTATTTCATATTTGATATTTCAACTAAGGAAATAGTTTTTTCTCTTACTCGATGTTGGTTTAATTTGCACAGATTGGTTCGTAACCGGTTGTAAAAGAGTAATTGGAGGCTTTGTTTCTTTCAGTTGAATCATATGAAGCCCTAGTGCTGGATGAAGACAACCTACTACAATAAATTGTCGAGCAGCCAAAAGAAGAACTTCTTTTTCCGATTGATAATACGAATGACGACTGATATCTTTACCACTATCACATTCAATAGAAAACAGTGTCCTTTGACCAGTTTTGTCTAGGAATTGTTCGTTTTCGAGTACTCCTATCGATGTTGTACATGATGAAAATCCCCACCAGACAAATGTTTTTCCTTCAGTATATTGATTAGATAGATCTAAATTCACTCCACGAAACACATGGCGTCGTATGGATGGTAATTTTTCGAGTGCTGTGAGAATCAGTTTCAAATACGAAAACCATCGTTCTAGTTTTCGCCTGTCTTCAGTGCGAAGAATTGCATTGAGGGTAAAATATAAACATTCGTCATGTGGTTTCCATTCCATGGAATAAAGCATAATTGAAGCTGATTCATCTTGTGTTAAACCATCGGGAGGTACGGATTCACATCGCTGCTTCGCAACATAAGCATAATCTTGAATCTCAGGTAAAATCGAAATGAGTGGTGTTACAGCTTCTTCCAGTGACACTAGTGGCATTTTTTCATACCCTCGAATTGGCATGAGCATCTTTTGTGGTTCATTGATAATATCCGATACACGTGTATACTGTTGTGCGTCAACATTTCCATCTGTCGCCATGTTTATATGAAAGAATATTTTCGAGTGACAAGCACAATGAATAGTCTAGAAATAAAATAAAAATTTGTTTTTTTAAATTAGTATCATAACTGAATTAAAATAAAATGTATTTATTAGTCAA